CATGCCGTTTTTGTATTTACCGTTAAGAAGCAACTAATTAACGACCTAAGTTTTCATGGGCACACGTTACATTACAAAAAAACACTAAACTCCAAGTAAAAAATTGAAAAAAAAAAAAAAAACAGGAGATGATAGTGAGCATGGCGGTTGCTGGAGCCATAGTTGGAGCCGCCATAGGAGGTTGGGCCAACGACAGATTCGGGAGGAGAAGCGCCATTCTCATGGCGGATTCTCTCTTCCTAAAAGGAGCTATCATCATGGCGGCTGCTCCTAACCCGTCCCTCCTTGTCGTTGGCCGTATCTTTGTTGGCATTGGGGTCGGTATGGCCTCAATGACCGCTCCTCTCTACATCTCAGAAGCTTCTCCAGCTAAGATCAGAGGAGCTTTGGTCAGTACCAATGGCTTTCTCATCACCGGTGGACAATTCTTGTCTTACCTCATTAACTTAGCCTTCACTCATGTAAGCAATACTAGCCCTGAATTTCGGTTTAGTAAATTCATTAAACCAAAACTCCGGTTATTTTTTGGTTTAGTTAGGATTCGATTACAGTTAGTTAGGTGAAGTTAACTAACTGAAATCGCAATACGTTTTGGTTTAGTTGACAATACGTTTTAAACATAATCTAAGTTGATTCAGTATATAAACTGGTTATTTCGATTGGTTTGAGATCGGTACACACGGATTGAAAACTTTTTAACCGCAAGAATCTATCATTTTGGCTTATTTTGAAGTTGTTATATAATGTTCTGTTTTTCTCTTGTTGTAGGTGACGGGAACATGGAGGTGGATGCTCGGAATCGCAGGAATTCCAGCTCTTTTGCAGTTTATCTTAATGTTTACACTTCCAGAATCACCTCGTTGGTTATACCGCAAGGTATTCAAACCGTTCAAGCCTAATCTCCGGTTTATGTCTTTGGTTCGGCCCGGTTTCTCTCCATAACAAAGTCTCTGTTTTTCCTAATGTGATGAACAGGGAAGAGAAGAAGAAGCTATAGCAATCCTGAGAAGAATATACTCAGCAGAAGATGTAGAACAAGAGATTCGAGCACTTAAAGACTCAGTTGAATCAGAGATACACGAAGAAGGATCTTCCGAGAAAATCAACATGATCAAACTATGCAAAACCAAAACCGTTAGACGAGGACTAATAGCTGGTGTTGGTCTCCAAGTGTTTCAACAGTTCGTTGGGATCAACACTGTTATGTATTACAGTCCAACCATTATTCAGCTCGCCGGTTTTGCTTCGAACAGAACAGCTATTCTCTTGTCTCTAGTTAGCGCAGGGCTTAACGCATTTGGTTCCATCATTAGCATTTACTTCATCGATAGAACCGGAAGAAAAAAGCTTTTGATCATTAGTCTTTTTGGAGTCATTATCTCTCTTGGATTGCTAACTGGTGTTTTCTATGAAGCGACCAATCATGCTCCTGCGATTAGCTCACTAGAGACACAAAGGTTCAAGAACATTACTTGTCCGGATTATAACACAGCTATAAAAACCAAAGTTTGGGATTGTATGACTTGTTTGAAAGCTTCTTCTCCATCTTGTGGGTTTTGTTCATCTCCCAGTGGAAAGGTAAAGACTTTTCGAAAACCCTGAAACGTTTTTAACTCGTAGACATTTGAAATTTTAAATCCTTTCTTATATGGATGATTTCAGGAATATCCCGGTGCGTGTTGGGTCTCTGATGACTCGGTTAAGGACTTATGTCATAATGAAAACCTGCTTTGGTACACAAGAGGATGTCCAAGCAATTTTGGTTGGTTTGCTCTTCTTGGATTGGGACTTTACATCATTTTCTTCTCTCCGGGAATGGGGACTGTTCCATGGATAGTTAACTCAGAGATTTACCCATTGAGGTTCAGAGGAATCTGTGGAGGAATAGCTGCAACTGCAAATTGGATATCAAATTTGATTGTGGCTCAATCTTTTTTGTCTTTGACTGAAGCTATTGGGACTTCTTGGACTTTTCTCATCTTTGGAGTGATCGCAATCATTGCTCTTCTCTTTGTTGTGGTGTGTGTTCCGGAGACAAAAGGAATGCCAATGGAGGAGATTGAGAAGATGCTTGAAGGAAGATCTCTGCATTTCAAGTTTTGGAAGAAGAGACCACAACCTGTTGAGAAACAAAACCAGAGTGCATGAGAGAAAACTATTTTTAAGGATTTCATTAGCAGTGTCAATAAAAAGCGCATGAGACTTGTAAATTAATATTGAAACTTGATGACAATTTCATGATCCTTTTTTTCTTCTTACAAACTAGTAAAGTATTTTGTTATGAATCAAACTGTTGGAGCCAGATCCTAGGAGTCTGACCATATGGTCATGGTACGTTCCAAGGTAATAAAAAAAATCGTTTTAAAGTAAAATTTTGACTCTTTAGCTGTTGAGCATGAAGCTGACAAGTACAAGTGTAAGTGCAGATAACAAATATGTACGTGAAACTTGAGTAATTTTACTTGGTCTTTTGCTCTTTTTGCATTAGAAATTATCTAATAATAAACGAATTCAAATACGACCAACTAAACCGCTGCGGAGGTTTTACAACAATTGAAGCAATATTTATATTGTATTCTTAACTCGGATCAAAACAAGCCGATATGTTTAATATATTTTACATTCGGAGTACATAAGCTAATATCAATACATTGGAGTAAATAAGTAATTTGGCAAAAATAAAGAAAAAAAAAATCGATGTGAAACAAAATAATCTGAATGTGCATCAATAAATGCCTTTAGACAGCGACACATTCCTCAGAGTCTAGAGCCCGTCGTTAGCTCTGTTAGACCAGATCTAGTAGTGGTCCCTTGGACGGATTTGGCTCGAGTTCATAGGCAAAATGGATTTAAAAAAAAAAAAAGTCCAAAATCGACGGATCAGTCCGTCCGGAAGAGGTTGATGAACCTGCATCCCAGACACGTGGCAAAGCGTGAGAGGAGGAATTTTCCCGTCAATTTTGGGGAAGAGAAAAAATTTTTGCCCAAAAATTCATTTCTCCTTCGCGAGTTTTTTTATATTTTCTCTCTTCCTCTCCTACGGCGATTCTCGTCGCCTCCGTCAAATCCGTCGAAACCGTCGACTTTTGCCGGTGTAGTGGACAACCGAGGGTCGGGCTTCCGTGATTATTGCCGAGGTAAGCGTTTCTTCTCTTACTTTTGCCCGATTTCATTCGATATAGGGAAATTAGGGTTTTGGTTTTCATGGCGAAAAATTTGAAGTCTGTAATCGGTGGTTTAGGTTGGGTTATTAGTGTCGATTTCGAGTCATTTCACCTCATTGAAACACGAAAACGAATTGAAGTTAATATTTTGGGAGATTTGAATGGAAATTGAAATCAGTGAAATTAGGGTTCATATGAAAAGGGGATAAATTTTGGGGCTTTCATTTGGGGTTGTAATTGGGGTGTAATACAATGAAAGTAAACCGTTTTCACTTGCTTTCGAATACGAATTCATGTTATACTGTCTTTCGGTTAATTGTTTTCACTTGACATTGCCTTTTTTAGTTAGTTATTCCACAATATCGATTGTAAAGTGGTCGTTATTTTTTTGTTACAGATAATGCCAAGCTATAGCAGCGAATCATCTGAGGAAATCCCGTACTGGGCTTACGCGGATGCCACATACGGCATATCGGAGAAGTGCTTCTGCGGGTGGGTTGTGAAGTTGAAAGCAAACGCAGCTGGTCGCAGGTACTATGTCTGCCCGGAATGGGTCAATGAGGTATTCATTAAGTTTGTATTGGTTTGTTAAAAGATCATTCGGTTTGTAATGTGTAGTTTAAGTTCTTGCTAACGGTTTGTCATGAATGTAGGGAACGTTTGATCACATCCACCAATGGTGGGATGACGGAGTCACCGAACAGTTTGAGATCCTCGCGAGCAGGATAGAGCAGCAGAAGGACCTGATCCTCAGTGTTGATCGGAGTAGAAGCAACGTTCTGGATCCAGCCATATGACAAATCTGTGAAGAGCTATCAACAATTCAGGGAGAAATCCGTGAAGAGATATCAACGCTTAAGGGAGAAGTCATGCGTTTGAAGGAGCAGCTTAGTACTCAAGGTGATAGTTTCCTGATCCTTTTTTTCCTTTCTGTGATCGCAACTATTGCATATACGTTTAAGGTTTAGAAATATCTCAAGTACTGTAGTTGGTTAGTGTTTGATGTTTAGGTCGGCTCAATCAATAGTTGTCTAATGGGTATTTTTTAATTTGTTTGAGGGTAATTTTTAATGGACTCCACGGAAACATGGTTCAGTTCAAGGCATATTCCTCACCGAGTAAAGGTTAGTTCCCTTGTAACTTGCCTAGTCGTCTTTAATGTAGTTGGTAAATGGCTTTATGATGTTAGCTTTAGGACTGGTTATCTATGCTTGATATGACATTTTAGGGTTTAGGGTTCGTGTGTTAATTGATATCTAAATTTGCTCGAAAAAGACACTCAGGACATTAAGACACAATGATAAGACAGTCAACCATAAAATTAAAGATCCTCAACCATATTTAAAACTTAAATACCTTTTACTTCAGACATTCAACTCACTCTCTTCTCTCTACTTCATTCATTCTCTTTTTCGTGTAACTTTTTCAGTCATTTAAGTTACTGCCTGAACTCACACTCTTCTATCTACTTCATTCACTCTCTTTTTTTCAAACTCTTTCACTACCTTCTTCATTCGCTATCTCAACTCCCAACCATCAACTCTTTCACTCTTTCTATGGATTCCCAGAACTCTGTTACACCGTGTGAAGGGTTTGTCAACCTTTTAGCCAGTCAGTACAACACTGACTCATACTCACCGTGCATAGACTTAGGATCATCGGAAATGCCTTCGTTTAGTACGCAAGGCACAGAAAAGCCAACGGAGAATGCATTGAAGAGAAAAATATGGTCGCCGAAAGAAGACTTGGTCCTCATTAGTGCCTGTCTGCAAATTTGTGGGCTCATACGCTGCTGCACAAAAGGAGAAATCATCGGGTCAGAATGAAAATGGCGTGATGAAGCTCGCACATGAGATCTTCTTCAATGACTACAGCATCAAATTTGGCCTGGAACATGCATGGAGAGAGTTGAGGCACGACCAAAAATGGTGCACGAGTGGCAAAGCTCCGGACGGTGCGTCATCAAAAAGAAGAAAGGTGGCAGACTCGGCTCAGTCTACAACCTCCATGCCTGCAAGCGAGAACGACGAAGAGGTCGAGGCTCGTCCGCCTGGAATGAAAGCTTCTAAGGCCAGTGCGAAAAAATCAGCAAGCGACAACAAGGACATGAAAGAGTTTTCGTCCATGTGGAAAATGAAACAAAGGGATCTAGAGCTCAAATATAAGATTAGAGACAAGAGGATACTTGAGAGCCTTTTAGCTAAACCTGAACCACTTAATGAGATAGATATGGCACTCAAAACCAAGTTAATTAGAGCTATATATGATCTTTAGGTATGACATAAAGTAATTTTTTGGGTGCACTTTGTTATTTTGTTTTTTTTTTTGTCATTGGCCATATGGTTTTGATTGCTTTATTTATTTTGTTTTGTTATCAGTTATGAACCATGTTTTGTTTTGGGTTATTTTGATTGCTTTATTTATGACCTTGTTATTTTGATTGGTTGTGTGTTGTTTTGATGTTCCATTTACTTGTCTGACTTACTCATATAATTGTTCTGACCTTCACGGTTTTTTTTTTGGGCAGGTTTATGGCTGACACTTCCGTGACCATATGCAACAAAATTTGAGGGGCCATATGATTTTGTTGTATTCTCTACTATCCACATATTTTCTGTTGTAATTTAGACCTTATGTTTCCCACTATCTTGTTATTGCCACTCCTCCTGTATTTATATGCTCTCAAAGACTTTTTTCATTATCACAAGTCTCAAGCAATCGTTTGCAAAAAATCTTCATTATCAAATTGTACACATCTCCCTCTCTCTCTTTTATTATCAAAATCTCTAAGGCATCGGTTGAACTTTTTACCCAAATTTCTCAACAAATTCTACACATCTCTCTCTCTTTCATTACAAACATTTTAACACCTAAACACTATGGCATCTTCAAGCAATCGTTTAGAGGATGTGTATGAAGATTCAGTCGATGATGCTGAAGATGATGCATTTGATGACATGTTCGATCAGAAATTTGATGACAAGTTTGATTCTATGTTAAATCAGCTTGCACAAAAAAAGCAAAAGAAAAAAAAAATTCATTGAAAGAAAGCGGGAAGAAGGCCACATCCGCTTATGGAACGATTACTTCAGTGATGATGCAACATATCCTCCACATACATTCCGACGCCGTTTTCGTATGAACAAGGATTTGTTCCTCCGTATTGTTTACCGCCTATCCAATGAAGTTCCATATTTTCAACAAAGAAGAAATGCTACCGGCAGATTAGGTCTCTTCGCTCTACAAAAATGTACGGCAACCATTCGTATAATGGCATATGGCACAGCAGCTGATGCAGTTGACGAATATCTCCGACTTGGTGCTAGTACGGCCTTGTTATGTTTGGAAAATTTCACTGAGGGAATAATATCTTTGTTCGGAGATGAGTATCTAAGAAGACCCACACCGGATGATCTCTAACGCTTATTGGACCTTGGCGAAGAACGGGGCTTCTCCGGGATGATAGGAAGCATTGATTGCATGCATTGGGAATGGAAGAATTGCCCAACAGCCTGGAAAGGACAATATACACGCGGATCAGGAAAGCCGACTATCGTTTTAGAGGCTGTAGCATCACAAGATCTTTGGATATGGCATGCATTTTTTGGACCTCCAAGTACATTAAATGATATTAACGTTCTTGATCGTTCTCCCGTTTTTGATGACATATTGCATGGTGAAGCCCCAAAAGTGAGATATTAGGTTAACGGTAACGAGTACCGTTTGCCATACTATCTAACCGACGGTATTTATCCGAAGTGGGCTACTTTTATACAACCAATTCATCTTCCGCAAGGAGAAAAAAATAAGTTATTTGCAACAGCTCAAGAATCCGTCCGCAAAGATGTTGAACGGGCTTTTGGCGTTCTTCAAGCTCGATTTGCAATAATTAAAAATCCAGCTCTTTTTTGGGATAAAGGAAAAATTGGCAAGATTATGCGGACTTCTATCATATTACACAATATGGTAGTAGAAAACGAACGTGATAGCTACAGTCTCGCCAATATAGAACAATTCCAACAAGATGAGGGAAGCAGAAATTCGTATGTCGATATGTCGTATTCTACAAATAGGCCGACAAATGTCTCAAATTTGATGATGGCGAAACGAAACGAAATCCGTGACTATCGAATACATGAACAATTGAAAGCAGATTTAATCGAAAATTTTTGGAATAAGTTTGGTACTTCTTAAATGTGTATAACAAATGTTTAAATATTTCTATAATTTAAAAAATGGGTGTTTGTATTTTTTTATTAATAAATTGTATTATTCTATAGTTTGCAATATATTGTATTTTTTTTTTTAAATAAGTGATGTTTTATTTTATTTATAAAAAAAATTCCCAAAAAAAAATATTAATATAATATTGCGGATGAACCCCATAAACGGATTTACTACTGGAACTTCAACCATAACTTAAATTCATTACAAAAAAAAATAAAATTATATATTATTTTAATCGGATGAACCTCATAATAGGGTTTATTACTGCACATGCTTTTACTACCGAAACCCAAATCTCAGTTACTTTTTGCTTTGGCCTTTTTTTTTTTTGTTGTTAAAACGAAACTCTATTTTTAATGGAAGCCACACATGAATATTTATTCATATATTAAATAAAGTATTGAAGAAGTATTGAAAGTTTGAAACATGCAATGTAACGATATCCTAATTCCTAAGTACATCTGCTATCTGCACATCAACAAAGTTAATGTTTGCTTTATTTTCACTCATTGCATCTCTCAACGCCACATCATGAATTATTTTGATATTTTTAGAATTCAATGACTTTTATCGTTTTCAAGATTTAAACCTAATAACTGTATCATTCTGTTGGCACTTTACAAAGCCATAAAGATCTATGGTTAAGTCAGGTTACTCGATGGCACACATTAGATTAAATTCGGCTGAGAAAAAACAAATCATGTAGAGGCCGACTGTATCACTGTTTCATCCCAATTGTGGTAGTACAAACATTTTCGAAGCTTTAACAATATATTCGACACGTAATATCAGATTGTCTAGCGTTCATAGCATAACTAGCGTTTAATCTTCGGTTAAATATATAATAGTACTGACACAGTCGCGATGTTTAGTGCCTTCGATGTGCTAATTAAGGAGGAGAGATCAATTAAGCAATATTTTTGTGTTCTCCCACATTACACAAACTTTGGCACTATCAATGATTCCATCAAGTACTCTTCGATTGTTTTTTCTGTGGATTCGGTATACTCGAGTCTGGACTAGTCTATGCTTAAGAGAGAAAATATTTTCGTGGATTTTCTGGTTCATTTGGAAAGAGAAAAATTGATAAAGTTTTATGAATTAGACCGATCTTTTATTGCATGTAAGAAGTGCAGCTTCTGCCTTTTTCTAAAGCTCACATGTCCACTTTGTCACCTCGAGAGGGCTTTTCTTTACCACTAATATTAAATCAGCATGAAACATGGTGCAAGTTTGATGGTTCCTGAAAAGGTAACAATCCTTTTACAAATTTAGGCTAGCATGAAAAAATTTAGGCAAACGTTTGCATCAAAAATGAAGCATGAGTGTATTTCATAGAAGCCAAAAGTCAAGTACGAAATCTATTACCTAGAACCGTTAGTGTACATGGGTTATGACCATATACATGCTGGAGCATACTGAATTGTCGGTAGCTTCTTGTATACATTGTTCAGAACTGGTAAAGATGACGTTAATCCCCACATATTAGTGTTTTCCACACTTTCAAATGAGTTGGATCGACTAAAAATTTGTCAATTAGCTTCTTTTTTTTTTAATTTGTTTGTTTATCCCACGTCTAAGTAATTAATTCTAATTGACATTATATGTTTGGACATTTTCGTTTTAAACTATGTAGCGACTATAATGTAATTACTCTTTCAATATTTTCTTAATTAAGAGCATTTACTATGTTAGGCTTGCTTAATTTTGTGCAATTTTCTTATTCTTGTTTTCTATCATTTACAGCTAAACAAAGAGAATATACGGATACTACCTGTAGGAATTTAGTCCTAGCTATAATCGTATCAGAATTTTATAATTAACAACCTTATACAAATGGCTTAAATAGACAACATTATACATCATAATTCCAATTGTAAGTAGGCAACAATGAGTGGCAGATATGTAAAAACGAGAAACAAAGAAGGGTAAAAGAGAGAGAACAACACAAGGAAAGTACTAAATAGTCCGAACGCTGCACTTGTCTTCCCTTGTCCGAAGGCAACTGTGGATATTTTTCTCTAACAGGTAATAAAACTTTCTCTCTCTAGAGTCTCCCTCCAATTCCCATTTTTCGCCAATTTTCTTTCACTTTCTTGGTTGATTTTTCTAGAAAGAAGAAATAAAAAACTATCCTAAACACTTTACCTCAAACTCTCCAGAAACGAATATTTGATGTTGTATAACATGACCCTTTTCATTTGATTATTTCAGATCTGTGGATCTTTACACTCTATGCTTGTTATGATGAGATCTAAGCATGAGAACAATAATAAAGGGAGAGAGAAGAAGCTCTTGACAAGAATCTGAGGAAATTCATTTCTTATTTTCGTTTATTTCTTCATCGCCGCCATTGTTGCTCTACAGTGAGCTTGGACAGTTGACACCTGTTATTCAAGTGAGTTTCTTTTGTTGGTGATTTTTGAGGCAAAACCCTTTTGAGGACTTACTAGTATTTTTTTTTTATAAATTAAATCTATGCTTTATTTAATGTATCTATTTGTCAATTTCTGTGATTGTTTTGCAACTTCCATTTTTAGGGCAAGTTTCTAGCTTCGAAAAAAAAAATCACTAGTCTTGTTCTTCTTCTTCATCTTCTTCAGCTAGAAAAATCTCGTCTTTATCTTCTGGGTACTTATTATTCTGGTAAAACTTTCGACCAAAGCGCATAATTTTTAGAAATCCCTACAGTATAGAGCCTATAGGTTTTTTCTTTTAAATAATGATTTAGGGTTTCTGAAAAGGCTCTTGAGCTATGAGGCTATATGCTATATGAACATGAATATTGACAGATAGGCCTTGCAGATCTACATATTGCTAATTTAATTTTAATTTGCAGAAATTTTTTATTTTATTTTCAGCCTTTCAGAAATGACTTTAATTTCGTCTTCCTCTTCCTTTTTACAGATTCAGAAGTCATCACTGCAAACATACTCAGGCTTTTGCTCTATCATAGCTCTGCAACAATTTCGCTTCAGAAACCAAAAAAGAAAGAGAAAGGTGAATGCTTGATTAGAGCTTAGCTGGCTTCACCTGTACACTCTCTCTCCGGCGACTATCTTTTCTTCTCCGGTAGATTCTTCGACCTTTGAGCTAAACCGGAAAAGTATCATGAGAGTAGCGTTACAATGGAGGTTGACGACGACATTGACGCACAGCAAAAACAACAACAACAACCACAAAGCAGAAAGCAGCAGAGAATCTCCGACGAAGACATTACCGGAATGAGGAACTGGAACAACCCATCTTCTCGAATCATTAGGGTTTCTCGAGCTTCCGGTGGCAAAGACAGACACAGCAAAGTCTTGACCTCGAAAGGTTTAAGAGACCGGAGAATCCGTCTCTCAGTCACTACAGCGATCCAATTCTACGACCTACAAGACCGTCTCGGATTCGATCAGCCAAGCAAAGCCGTTGAGTGGCTAATCAACGCAGCTTCTGATTCAATCTCCGATTTGCCATCGATCAACACGAATTTCGACCAAGCACTCTCGCTGTCCAAATCCGCTTGTAGTAGCGGCACATCTGAGAGTTCGTTGTTGTCTTTGTCGAGGACAGAGATTCGTGGGAAAGCGAGAGAGAGAGCTAGAGAGAGAACAGCTAAAGAGAAAGACAAAGACTTGCAAAACGCACAAAGCTCCTTCACTCAGCTTCTCACCGGCGGTTTCGACGAACCTAACCGAAATTGGACCGGTGGTGGTGGTTCTGATTGTTTCAACAACCCGGTTCAGCTCATACCAAACTCGTCTTCTTCTTCTCTTCCTCATTTCAACAACAATCATCATCGTCAAGAGACGTCGATGAATCAGTTCTCGTTTGTGCCGGATTACAACTTTGGAATCTCTTCTTCTGATTCTCCCGGAGCAGCCGCCATTAATGGAGGTTGTTACAGCAGTAGGGGGACCCTTCAGTCCAATTCACAATCTCTCAGCTTTCTCAACAACAACAACATTAATCAAAGGTCGATTTCTTCGTCTTCTTCTTCGTCTTCTCCAATGGACAGTCAAAGCATTTCCTTTTTCATGGCTACACCTCCGCCTCTTGATCACCATAGCCACCAGCTTCCGGCTGCTTTTGACGGCCGGTTATATCTCTACTACGGTGAAGGAAACCGGAGCTCCGAGGATAAAGGAAAGGATCGGAGATAGGAAAAAGCTTCAGAAGTCTCCATCTTGGTTAGTATTTCTACCTATTTACAATCTCAATTCTTTAAGAAAGTGAGTTATTGTTTATTTATATTTTGAATGTTTTATGGATTAGTTAAATTGGTAATAGTACCATGTTGTTTGCTTTTATCAAAATTTTGGTTTCTTGATTTCGTAAAAGAAAGATGGTTTATTGGGGCGTGGGTGGCATTGAGTCTTATCTTCTTCTTTTTTTTTTGGTGGATTTCGTATTTCGTCATTACATTTTGTGTGTCTCGAAATAATGAGTTTAGATTGTAATTTATTAATTGGCATGTGGATGAAATTTGAAAAGAGAGCTATATCTTCTGGTTGTCTCCTTTTGTGTTCTATGTTGGGTTCCCTTCTTCATCAGCATCACTTTGTTCCACTTGTGACCGTTAATTAAGAAAATAATATCCTATTATTAGTGATTGTTGCTTTTTGATTCATAACCTTTGGCTTCAAAGTGCAAAAAAAATACTTTCTGAAGTTATGCTCACTAAAATTCAAATTATTTGTATAAATTAGATAGTGTAGTATTCAAGTTTTGGGTTTAGGAATCTTTGACAGAATATCATTTTATACTGGAAAAATGTAGTGAGTTGATGAACTGTTTTGTATAAAAAAGTAGTTAGTAGTAGACATTTAATATTGGTATGAAAGAATCAATTTTTTTGGATAAAGACTTTGTTGTGAAAGAATCGAAGAAACTTTTGTCCTTTTATAGATAATAGTTTATTTTTAGACAAAAGATTGGAAGTTGAGTGTGTGTCTGGCAAAAATGGAAAAATTGTTTTAAACTTCTTGGCCTCCTGAAATGGCACCACATGCTGTGTGTCGGAATCTAAACCCATCTGTTCATTGTTGTCCCATGAGCTACTTCCCTTTACTTCGGAGCAATCACTCACATTTTAGATGTCTTTCACATCACATTACATAAGGCAATTTATTTTAGCTGAATTCTGAACTGATTGAGCTTTTCTTTTAGCTGAATTCTGAACTGATTGTTAACCTTAACCAAAAAGAAAATATAAGCAAAGTAATGGAGCTTGGTTAACCTTCTTTTTTCTTAAAAATCTTACTTTTCTTTTGGTTTTGAGATTATGAGCATTGAACTAAAGGAGATTCTTTTATAAGCATAGTACAGAATTGTCAAGGTTGAATTTGTTTTAGTAATCAGGAATTGTAAGGCTGAGTAAATGAGTTTCTTTGTGTACACTCCAGTGCTTATATAACACATGCACATTTCGAGTCTCTGGTTTCTTAATAATGGTTTTTCGCAACTGGGATCATACTTTCATCAATAAAATTGGCTGATCGATGAAATGTTACTTGAAATTAAAATGCAGGAGAGGAAGTGAGAGAAGACGTTGGATGCGCAGCCTAAAGCTTATCTTTTGATCCTCCATCACGATCATAAGCCTGATTCTCTGTTCACAGAGTTGTGCCTCTTTGATACCAATAAGGCAATTTGCCTTAGGCCACTTAATTTGTTTGTAAAATTAAGAGCCACATTTGACATTTCTATGCAAATGGTTTGTTTCAGTTGGTCAAATTATCCTCACTTGTTACTTGTTAACCATATAATCGTAAATTTTTGGTGATATTGTCAACCACTTCTTACTTTGTTTGTAAAATTAAGGGCCACATTTTTTACGTTTAACCAATATAATCGTAATTTTCTTATTCTAAAGTTTGATATGCATTTCGAGGACAAGTATTGATGATTTAAACCATAAATCAAACAAGAGCAGAGATCAAAATTAAACAGAATATCAATGGCTTCAGTAAAATTAGCTTTCAAGAACAGAACATCAAAGTCTCGAAATGAAGCTGAAAAATATTTATTACAAACTCTCGTGTTACATAAATACATAATCCCTTCCCGGCGATTCCCATCCTAATATGTGTCTCTTTAAAGTCTTTAAACACAAGACAAACAACACATGTTCTTGCTCATTAACAGACTTCTTTTACAAGAGAGTGTATGTACAATTGCGTTCTTCTGTTCCAGAGAAACTCCTTTACTCCTGCATCCCTGCAGATTCGATTGGAAACTCCGCTTCGCATGAATCTGTGATCTCTCTGTACAGTTGCGTTCTTCGCTTCCAGAGTTGTTGCGGTTTTTTAGCTTTAAGGACATTTGTGATCTCTCCGTCTCTTCTCTTCTCCTTACTCCATTCTCCAATAAATATGGATTGGCGTTGCTCCCACCATCTGGAAAATGTCGTGTTAACACCATCTTGTCTAATAATACTCTTTCCAGACTTAAGATTTGATTCTATGTATGAAAAGCTTTTCAAGTTTTATCCTTTTTGGCCACAAATCAACCGCATTTTCAGTGAAGGTACAGGAAAAAAAGAAAGAAAGAGAGAGAATTTATCAAGAACATGGAAGCTTAGCTCAAGAAACATCACTGTGGAAGCCAAAACAATTCAAAGGCAAAGATAGCTAATTCTAACGAGTAAAACAGAGCAGTATACAAAAGCAGAGACTTGGCACTACGCATTTTGTACCTGAAACCAGCATAATGCGAGAGAAATCAGAACGAGTTCATCTCCAAACAATAAGTCCTCCTCTTGATCAACATCTTCGCCGCAGACCCAAACGGCTCTTCAAACGCATCAGACAACCAAGAAGCATCACAGACTTCCTTCTTCGACTCACTCGGCCTAATAGCCACCAATGTAGCACCTTTCAACACAGTACCATCAGGTAAATCCAATTCCGGCGCATACCAAAGCCTCATGTTCAGTGCCGGCACAAGGGTCCTCTTCGAAGCTGAAGAAGCAGATAAAGGAGTAACTCTAAGCTCTTCGAGCTGTTCTCTGTTCATAGACAACACACCTTGCCCGTCTGCATCGGAGAGAACCAGACGATCTAAGCTCTTGTGCTCCGTGATGATCGGCTGAAGAAGATAATGCCGAGCCGAAGCTGCGATTAACGAGCTTATCGTCCATACCACACGGAGCTTAAGTCCTCCATTGGTGTAGAACGCCTCAGGTATGTTACCATTGTCGTCATCGACGGGATTCTTGACAAGATTCGGATTCGAACGAGTCACTGAAGATGCGCCGAGAATCATGCAATTGTCGAGCGTGGATCCGAAATCGGCTCTCCATTTCAGCAGAATTCCGTCGTCGATCCCTAATTCCCCCGTCGGTAGTTCGATCCTCAGTAACCGAATCTCGGCGAAGTTTTTCAAGACCTGCGTCGGCGAGTGGTGCGTTACGCCGATCTCGCTTCCGATTTCGTCCTCGAGTGCTGAGAACGATGCGTGGAACAGCGAAGAAGACGATGATGATCGCTTCGGACCTAGAAACTGCCCTAGAGCTTGAAACGGCTTGAAAATCGGAGCGAATACGAGACGGAACAAGGCGGAGAATGAGCCACCGGCGGTGGCGTCGGTGATCGACGCGGAGTTGAGAGAGAATCGACGGTCGGCGGCGGAGGAATCATCGTCGGAGATTACGCAATCGACGCGGACGAGTACGTTCTCGACGAAAGGGACTAAGGAGTGAAACCGACGGGAGACGATGGAGCAACGGCCGAGATCCTTGACGTCGGCGACTTTATCGAAGATGAGGAGGAGGAGAGAGTCAGGGAGGAGGTCGAAGTGATCGGAATTTTCTAGGGATTGAGGCTCCGGGTGAATCCGAGATAGGGGATCGGCGCAAAGGAGATAAGACATGGGTTTTTGCTGGGGAGGAATCAGAGAGTGTGGAATTAGGAGAGATCTGAGGAGAAGAGAGAAGAGAGAGACTCCATGGATGCAGAGATTGAAGAAGGTCTAGTGATTGTTTTTGTCTTTTAGTGAGAGCAAAGAGAGATAGCTTATTATTAAATGACGGATCTCACTTGTTCCCTGAAAGCACTGATTGCATGGTTTTATCTAATAATTATGGATTAGGATAGTTAAACACTCTCTCAATAATCAATTAGTTTTGAAATTACTGTATGTTGGTGTTTACTATTTACCAGTTACTATACTAGTAATTTCTATTTATTTATTCAGTTTAGTTCGTGTTTTTTTTTACTTTGTTTATTGATTCTGCAAAATCACTAGAACTATTATTAGGTTTTCGGTAGTTCTGTAAATTTTAATAACTAGAACATTTTTTTTTTCTAAATGTCATTTTAACTTGTTTACAGTTTCGAAAGTATGCATTGCAATCAATTCGAACTGGTAATTTGTTGGGAAACGAAACTGATACCTTCCTCTTAAATTGTTTATTGGAGTTAAGTGGGAGTGTACTGTTGTATTTCTGTCTCCGTCATTTGTGGTACTGGTACCACACTGTTTTCCTAAATATTTATGCATTGTTCCACTTTGTGAGATACATGTTTCTTCAAAAAATGAAAATTTTCATTCCATAATGGACCCAAAATAATATTATTAGTTAAAACAAGGGAAGTGTTCATTTTAAATGAAGGTTATAATAACTCTAACAAAATGTTAGGTGTTTTGACTAGAAAAAATGTTAGGTCTACATTCCATCGCATGACTTTTCGTAGTTTTCTCATTATTCACACAAAAAGGTACATGAAAGCAAAATCTTACTTGTAAATCTACCAATATCTTTATCTTTAATCATAATATAATACTGTATACTTTATAAAAATATCATCCTTTCCACTATTTAGTTTGGTAAAAAGCATTCTTCCAATCATTCGTTTAATTGCTGCGTTACATCTCCTTAACAAACAAAAATGATGTGTTGTATAATACTTGCAAAATTATGTTAAAACTTATAACGATACTCAAGAGTTATAACAATACTTTAGAAACTAACAAAAGATTATTAAAAATTTTTCTAAATTGTTTGAAAAATGTTTCCTAATAGTTAATTTGTAAGGTTTCCAAGCGTTTATGATTTCTGATAATATAAGCATTTTTAAAAATTGCAGTTTTTTGGTACTTGCAAAAGCATGTTAAAAATCGCAGTTTTTATAATACTTGCAAAAGCATGTTAAAACTTACAACGATATTTAAGACTTATAATAATATTTTAGAAATTTACAAAAGATTATTAGAAAATTTTCTAAATTTTTTGAAAACTGTTTCTTAATAGTTAATTTGTAAGATTTCGAAACGTTTATGATAATATAAACATTTTTAAAAATTGCAGTTTTTTAATACTTGCAAAAGCATGTTAAAAATTGCAGTTTTTATAATACTTGCAAAAACATATTAAACTTACAACGATACTTAAAACTTATAACAATACTTTAGAAACTTACAAAAAAATATTGGAAAATTTTCTGTATTGTTTAAAAAATGTCTCTTGAAAATTAATTTTGTAAGGTTTCGAAGCGTTTATGATTCTGATAATATAAGCATTTTTAAAAATTGCAGTTTTTTTGACAAAATGTGATGAACAGTAGTATAACAACATTTATATGCGAAACATTCTAAAAGGTTATTTTATTCATATATAATTAAAATGGTATTTCATAAAGTAATGAAAGGAAAGAGACAATGGAGCTAATTTTCCTTATAACTTATTTTTTACTTTTTCCACGTGTTAGTATATAACATTTGCATCTTGACAATTATAAGGACACAATTTACTTTATCAACAATCTCGGTTTTGATAATAGATTCGTAGCCACCATCTGATACGATTAGGGATTAACATAATGTTATATAAAAGTATGCTTAGTGTACGCAAACGAAGGTTGGAACACCTTTCCAACTCATTTCAAAAGTTGTATTGGTAATCCAACCGCCTTAGAATAAACGGATGGCCCAACATAACTTTTGTTCGGTTTTTTTTTTTTTTTAAATCTAAAATGTTACTAATCAAAAGATAAGATTTATATAAATGCTTTATTATAAACCGAGTTATAGAAAAACAGACTAAACAACATGTTTTTGAATTCAAGAGAAAAAAATCATAAATCTATCTAGGAGTAAACCAAGCTCATTTATGATGTTGGAGAAAGCGGGTCACTCATTAGAGGACTGTATTCGTTTGACCAACTCGATACAAAACGTGTTGAAATCCTCACAAACTATTCCACACGAGACGATATTTGACATGGTTCAAATTAGCACTTCTATATATGAGTGAAGAAGCGAGAGTCTTTGTCTCTTACATTTAAGTATATATTCCTGTCATATGTATATGTAAGCAAACTCCTAAAAGTAGCTTTGAAGTGGGATCCATACTCTTCAAAGATCCATCCATTTGACAAACCATTCTTGAAAACTTGTTATCAAAAATTTTGTGTTCCTTGATAATTGTTTGAGCTTTCTCCCATACTTTAAATTTGCTTATTGTTAATAATGTCCGGTGGTTTCTTTTGAATACTTTAAAATACCCTTTGTTTTTGATTAAGAGCTTTTAAAATGAAATATTAAACTTTGAAAACAAAATTATTCGACTTTAGATCCGCAAAAGTATAGATTATCAAAAATTGTAGTCCAATTCCATGTTATAATATCACACGTGATTTAGAACTATATCCCCGTAAAAAATATATAATTATAGCAATGTAAGAGCATAAGTATATTTGAATAAGTACTTTTGATTTATTTCTTTTTCTTTTTTGCTAATAATAAGTACTTCAGTTATTAATCAATTATCAACCAAATCTACGACAATTTGCGTGTGGATATTATAGTATATTTTAGTTGATGTCACAGTCGTCCCTGGTGGACGTTTCTTGTATTGTCCATGGATATATTAGGCTATATACATAAGTATGTGCATATCCACATAGAATCATATTTTGCAGTCTTGATTTATAAATCGCAATATATGGGTCTCCACCAAGTGACCACTTGGTGCAAGTTGCAATTGTATCGGTTTTATAATCATATTCGTTTGACGTAAATGAACATATTATAACTAAACGAGGTTAGATATATTCGCAGATTTATAATAGATAAGACTGAAAAAAATGCATGAGACAACTAGTCGTAGTCGATACTCGATATTTAAACCTAAGAATTTAAGCTAATATTTGATTTGATTTTTCTTTTTAAAAGTCCAATCTAGATAAATAGATAATATGTTTTCTTTTATTCTCCCAGTTAGAATACTAATTACATGACGTTGTTTCTTGGCCGCCTGTTTTTGTGTGTGCGTGTGGAAAATAGCTCCTTTTTCTCCTTGATATCCTTAGGATAGCTATTTTTTATGGATGCAGTAAGAACTTTATAAAACTTTACACTTTTATAAAATCAATAAACCGTAAAAAAAAAACTAAATCGAAACCAAACTAACACACTTACCCCTATTTTTGCGATGCTCTTTAAGAGCGCTTATCTTTGGCAACAGCAAGACAAAGGACAATTCAACGTAACCAGAGTGTTGATCAAAGTTTGGAGCTGCGGAAGTATATCAATAAATATGAATTTGTATGTATATACATAATATATTTTAACAGTATATATATATATATATAGATTTATGTTTTTATAATGTGAATTCATATCTTGTGATTTGGAAAAATGCGAGATAATAATTGGTTGGAAAGATTCGCCAGATCATATTTGCTACACTCAATAATCTTAGATAGTACAGAAATGCATTTGCAAGCAAATTCCTGTCATTAATGAGGCCTTCATTTAATACATTTTACAAACAAATTTGATCAAGCATTATATATATATATTGTTGAGAAAAGTCAGTGCATTGACCGGACGTAGCAATCCATTTCTACTTCATTTCCTTTCCATTAGTATTTGATTATTTGCGCTCCATCATATACTACAGCAAAATGCTAATTATATTTAGAAACTTTGCAAAAAAAAAAAAAAAAAAAAAATGACAAATCCGAGTACCATTCAAGAATAGACTTTTTGTTCAAGTAAACAAGAATAATTTAGACGGTTTTACCTTCTTTCATTTAATTATTACGAGATGGATTATTTTTTTCATAAAATATTATTTTTCTATCTAAACATATTAGTTGATCTAATGGAGCTTTTCAAGTTTACACATACAATTTAACTGTTGTATAACACATGAGTTTATCCCTTATCATGCTATTTTGCTATGTAAACAAGATAAATTATCTAATAGATTATATTTCCGTTATATTAATATGTACTTTTTATTATTATTTTTTTTTGTGATTTTACATTGTTGCTGTCGGATCTTACAACTGACCCGGTGACCCCGGCATATCTCTTCGAAAGTCCATCATCATCTCATTGAAAAATATTCACATGCTTAACTTGAAATGGTCAAATAATCAATAATCAAATGGTCTAATCGTCAAATCTCAACATTATTTTGTGAAATTTAGTTTTCAAATTAGTGATCATGGATAACACATAAAGAGGAGAAGAAGCTATATAATTAGAGATGGAGGTCACCATGCGATATGATACTTTTTTCTCTCCAAAGTCCCTACAAAAAGCGTCGATTCATTTGAATACGATACTCTATTTCTGAATAGTCATAATAAAACACATTTTTTTACTTCATTCTTTATTAATTTCTTCTCCAATTCGATTACGTGCTACTAAAGAGAGCTTATCTCCAAATTTAGTTTCAATCACACGATTCTCTCTCTCTCTCTCTCTATATATATATATATATATATGTCCACGCATGCGTATATGCTAATGTATGTACGTGTTTGTGTTGTCTTCGCGTGTCATCCGCCATAGATCAAGTGGAATTATTTCTCTTAACTAACAAGAACCTTTTTTAATTTTAAGAACATTAACTTTCCATAGTTAAAATATTTGAAAATTATATTGAAATGTACGTATTGTTTTTGTTTGCTGAATTATTTTGTAACGATTAACCGGAGACACGGCGTAGCATGTGTCATGTCGATACCTTTTACCGGGAAATTCGTACGGAGATTCACTTTCTTTTATTTGTATATTTTTCTTTTTTACTTCCGTCTTCTTTTATAATTAACCTTAATCATAGTATCAACTATGGATGGATTATCTCAACTAATTAATACGTCACCGTTCAAGAACTAACTACTCAATATACATATACAACATCCCACTGTAAGATTTTAGTCATGGGACCAATTGCTCTTGTAATAATTCAAAAGAAAGCAACAAGTAATACTAAAAAGGTTTCAAACATTTAAAGCCTTGTCTAAAGCCTGTTTTTGTTTTCTTTCTTTAGTTTTCGCTGAATCACATATTCATTCTCAATTTCTCCTTTATTCGGAGCCTTGAAAAGATAAATTGTTTTTGAAGAAAATCAAGGTTTTGAAAGAATCTGTAGACTTTTAATAGTCTTGTACGATTATTTCTACATTATCAGAGAAATTTGATATAAATACATACCAACCAAAACTAGTGGACGAATACTTTCATGCATCAAGAGATGCCTACATTTCTGAGTCATCTCCCATAGTCCCATGACATTTTTGACTTTGAATATTTGTAGGACAAACTCATAAGGTCATAAGACTCATAACTAACGATACCTTTCTGCCATCATTGTTAGTAATTATTTTGTGGTCCTTTGTTTGTAGAAACGGTTTTACAAATCTGATCCGAATCAAATTTCACCATTATTCATTGGCTCTTTTTATCTTCGAGTCATTTTCATATCTGACTTCAGCATTTGTATCAAACTTATTAACATTATTTATTATCAATATTTATAACAACAACAAACGCATTAATGTCGGGGATTCGAACCAACTTCTTTTACCCAAAACTAATCTTACCAATTCACTACGCTGGACGGGAGTTGGAGGGTACTGATGGGCCTTAAGTTCGATGACCCAATTAAAACCCACAAAAAAATTAACAGCTCATCGATGACACTAAATATATTGATAATCCCGAACTTTGATTACAAGTTCAAACGGATTGAACCAAAACCAAATACCCCTCAAAGACCATGCGTTTATGTTTCATATATTCCACAATACCCATATTGAAAAGAATACGAGGTCTCTAACTAATTCGTGCATCCTCTCTCAACGATATATAATATACATATAACTTTTGGTAATATCCAAATTTTGTATTTTAACCAGAATATTCCAAACGGTATGGACTCTCTATCTATATTCTCTTGGACCTGCGATACTAAAACAGGCTAAACTAATTATTCACCGCAGGCGGGGGTCTTGTCCAATTTTCCCCCGAACTTGATTTTAAATTAATCAACAAGATTCAAAAAAAATATAGTTCTTCCTTTTAAATCTAGACAAAGTTTAATTATACATGCATTATGGTTTTTTTGGCATTAAGCTATTATTAATATGATATAATATATATATATATATATATTCTTTCTAAGAACAAAAGAGTGTAGTTATCAGTAACTATTATCATTTCCACACCGACGACTGCAAAAATAGTCATCCCATCACCAAGTCTTCAAAAAAGAAAAGAAAATAGAACTCCAATAACCAAAAAAAAGAGAAGTTCTTACTAACTTTGTCCTACTATGAGCAATTCACATCAAGTAGACGAAACTCGTGATTGCAATCTGATCTGTCTGTTGAACTGTTGGATAAAGTCTTCGACCCTTCTGTTCAATTCCTCGTTCGACATCTTTGAGAACTCTTCCGATTCTTCTTCAAGATTCTCCCATTTCTCCGGAACAACCATCCACTTCGAGCTATCCGATTCGCTTCGATGATAACTTATACGTTTGGCCTTTGTATCTTCGGTTATCATCACCCGTCTCGGTTTATCTGATTTGGTTCGTCCGTATGATTTACGGTTCACATGGTTTCTTGCGTTGCAAGTTTCTTTGTTAGAAACGGTTTGCTCAATAGCCGGTTTGTATTTCTCGATAGCTACATGGTCTCTCGGTTTCTCCTCGCTCACCACTCGCACTATTTTCTCAGGAGGTGAAGAAACGCATACAATATCTTTCACCATCGGTTCTTCTTCATCAGGCTTCTTGATTTCAACATCTCTAGGGTTCTTGATTTCGACATATTTAGGGTTCTTGGTTTCTGCATCGATGGAGTTTTGCTGTTCAGGGCTTTCTTGGTATGTTAAGACGTGAATCGGAGAGTAGTTATCTGCACGGCTTCTCATCGCTGCCGCCGCCGCAGTATATTCACCGTAAAAGTCGTGACTCTTTTTATCAGTGAAGGCGCCATAATCGGCGGCGATTATGAGGATGAGAGTGTTGGAGATCAAGAACAAAACCTTTGTGTCTTTGAAGATCGACGATGGAGATAGTTCGAAAACGTAGAAGATCAAAACGTAGGTGAAGATCGATAAGAGGGTGGAGAACATTGGGAAAGAACAAAAATATCGGTTCTTTGGCTTGTAAGGCTCGAACTTAGGATTCTCGATCATGTACGAGGGAATTTCTGTCATTTTCACGTGTCGGAAGATGAATTGAGACCTTGAGAGAGAGATATATAGTGGTGAAGTGTTATGTGGTTGTTTTGATCATTTGAGGTGTTGTAGCCTTTATATAGTGGCTTATGGATCTAAATCATTGAGTTTTGTGAATTGTCGAAATTACCCTTGGGACATACATTAATTTATTGATAGAATCTTGACACGATTTAAGATTTGTCACGTCATAGTGATTTACGTGGAAACTAAAGGGCACTTGTTTTTTGAAACATCCTGGTAGGTGCCCGGCAATTCTTATTTAGTAATTAATATAGATTGCAATATCTTGTCTACCTGAGAAATTACATATTATAAAAGAAAAATAGGCTGGGATAGATACAAAACTAAATTAATTCAGGAAACATATTTGGTCAAGGCACCAATCGCGGATTCGCGAGCACTGGTACAGCAGAATATCGACATGTCATCGTTAGACAACACAACACAATCAGATAGATATTCTCTGCTTCTTTAGATAACGGAAAACTAATTTTAGAGACTCATTTACAAAATGAATGAAAGAGTTATTTGGAAATTGGCAAGTTTTACTTGATTTATGAAAAAAAAAAACAATTCTGAGAAAAAGATAAACTTATCTTCTATACTATTTAGCGAAATCTATATATTGTCTAAAGTCTAAACTCTATCTTAGCGCTTTCAGTATTAAATGCTAATCCAATATATGACTAGCATCTATCTTTTCTTTTTCGAACTTGGAATTAAAGTCACCTCTTTAGATTATTGAGTTCGTAATGACTAATAAATGATTTTTCATTACTATAAACAACTTTGTGTACACAGTATCAATATCATTAGAAACTTCTCCAATGTTACTAAACTAAGAAATGGAAAGTTTTAGAGATAATCGTGCAACATCTGTCTTTGAAACTATGCTTTAGCAGATATTATTTTTTGTTAAAGCAGATACCTTTTTTTTGTTATACTCTTGTTAAAGCAGATACTTAGCATAGATTTTATAGTCCATGTCCTGGTCATCACCCGTCTTTCTTAGAATCATTACTGTAATTAGATATTTCCAATTATGTCATAGTTTTATAATTCCTTTTGTTAAAACAAAGTTTTATGATTGACGTGGTAAGAATGAAATGCACCGTCAATAAATATACAAACGATAAAAAATAATTTGTCGTATTCTGATTGATATATATTTCCAGGCATCTTCTCAATCTATTTTTATCTTTCTTGTTGTTAATCTTCATAAATCTCATGTGACAGGCCTGATGACTAATCACTACTACAACTGTAAAATTGTGTATCCCTTGATCGATGATATAAGCGACTAAACCATTTGTTGACGTTTTTGAGCGATAACATGTACTTAAAACCATGGTCTAAGTTGTCTGTGAATTTCTACGAAGGTAACTTCTCGTTGAACACTCGTCTTCTAATAACAAATAATAAATAAACAAATGTTTTTTTTTAATTAAGAAAAAGACTGTCGGGAGTTATATGCCTTCGAGAACAATATATATTTGTAAATAAAAGGACTTCCGATAGTTTCTAGTTCACATTTTAAGATAGGATAATTTCCTAGTGCCTTCGACTCAACCACTACATATATAGTAATAACCATACAATTTGTGAGTTGGGCCTAATCTAAATAATACATTACTTAACCCAAAAAATTAGAGTGTTAATTACATTCCGTCAAAATTTCTCCAATATCAAAGAAGATGTTTGATTTGAAATCCAGGTTTGGAAATTGAAGATTTTTTTTTTTGTTTGACGTGATGATGCCTTCACCTACGAGATTAAATATCTGTCATTAAAACAGTTATGAAAAAAAAATATCACACGAATCTACATGAGGGAGCATTTTATTTGAATTTAGCTGAGAGTATAATATAACTCACCAACCATCTTTTCAATAAAGTTCATGTGGTCATTAGATTTTATGACTAACCACAAAAAAAATTTCATGCATTTGTTACTAATGAATCACAGAGTTCGTAACATCTTGAAACTTAAAGAATTCCAATTTAGACAATAGTTAAGCTAAATTAGTAGCAACTCAAATATAATATCTATTTGATCAATTAGTAGGAGTAATTCTTTTGAAAGTCAACTATGAAAAATACATTTACGTTAAAGATTTATAGCTATAAATATTACCAGTAAATTGCAATTGAAAAATAAAATCTAGAAAGACAATTGGTAATTTCTTGGAAATCTAAAAAAACAAATGTTGGAATTCGTCTTTAATTGTTTGGACACAAAATCTTTGGTAATTTAATCTAACTTTTTTTTTTTATTATATATATAGAGTCGAACTCATTCTCCAAAATATATAGATAGAGAGAGTCGAAGTCAAGCGTTTGTAAGCTTCGTCGTTGAAGAAAAGATACTAAAGCCGATTGGTCTTAACGTGATTAATTGCTAATAAAACGTTAAAAAGGTTAAATACAAATGCATATAGATGATTACGAAACGATCTTTCTTTTTTTTGCTAAATGATTATGAACCGATCGATCTATCTTTGTCAATAAAGATGATTCTCGAATGAGAAAGAAGAAGCAGAAGAACAAGCTGCATTTATAGTTTGTGTTCTTGGTTGTATTATGTTCCTCTTTCCCGCAACACGTGACTAGTTGTTCTCCATCCGTCATTCACCATTTCATTTTCATCTTTCATATTCAAAATTCATAGCACCATTTTTATTGATCATATCTCTGTTACATGCACAAATCACTTTAAATATAATAAGTACTGAAAAAGCAATCTGGATGAGTTCGAGTGAAGAAGGAAAACAAAATTGTTTGGTACAAAATATATTTATAGCAGCAACTGATGGAAAAAGATTTAGAACAAGATTTTACTACTTTTATATACGTGGTTTGGAAAGATTTGTAATAATATATTGGTAATGTCTTTGAGATATTATGTAGAGGCAAAATTAAGATGTCTAGAGATAAGCACATGTCTTTAAACATGATAAAGAGTTGGTTATTAGGTTGTAGCCGTTTGCTTGTCACCGTTTGGAAATACGGCTAGATAAATTGAAACGCGTGTGTTATTAGTATATTCTTTTATGAAATTTTGAAATCTTTGAGTTAGCTAGAAATTTATCGGTTGATTTACGGTAAATCATTTACCGACCTTGACTTTTATCTTATTAACATAGTTACAATTTGTACGTCTGGTCTAATATAAATCATACATACTAAAAGGTTAAATAAAAATCAGATATTATGAACCGATGACCGATCTATCTTTGTCAATAAAGATGATTTTCGAATGAGAAAGAAGAACAAACTGCATTTATAGTTTGTGTTCTTGGTTGTATTATGTTCCTCTTTTCCACAGCACGTGACTAGTTGTTAATTTCATTTTCATCTTTCATATTCAAACTTCAAAGCACCATATTTCTTGATCTTATCTCTATTACATGCAGAAATCACTTTACATGAAATAAGTATTGAAAAAGTAATCCGGATGAGTTCGAGTGAAGAAGGAACAAATTTGTTGGTACAAAATTTTTAGAAACAAATGATGGAAAAAAAAAATAGAACAAGTTGTCACTAATTTTGTATACGTGGTTTTTTGAAAGATTTGTAAAGATAATATTGGGAATGTCTTTGGGATATTTATGTGGAGGCAAAATTAAGATGTCTAGAGATAAGCACGTGTCTTAAAACGTGAGAAAGAGTTAATTAGGTTACAGCCCGTTTGGTTGTATAACCGTTTAGAAATTCGGCTAGATAAACTGAGATAACACGTGTCGTATTAGCACATTCTTTGTTGAGTTTTTTATATCTTTGAGTTAGTAACACGTGTCGTGTTAGCTCATTCTTTGTTGAGTTTTTGATATCTTTGAGTTAGCTGTAAATTTATCGGTTGATTTATCGACTTTTGACTTGTATTTTATCAACTCCTTGTCAAAACCTTTATATATATAGTCTTTATTGTAATTTTCGATATTTCCAATAATATTATGGGTTTTTTACTTTTTATGATTGACGCGGTGAGAATGAAATGAATCGTGCATTTAGATACATAAAAGGTGTAAAACAATTGTGGCCTTCTGATTAATCACGTTTAAAACAACAATAACATTAAAAAATAATAGAAAACAACAACAACAACAACAACAACAACATGATGCAATTTAAAAAAAAAAACGACTACAACATAAGTAAATTAAACGACAGAACAACAACAATAAAAAAGTCGTTTTTTAATGTTGTTGTTGTTTTACCCGGAGGAGGGAGGGGACGCTGAATCTCGGAGAGCAACACGTCTCCACCCATGTTGTCTTCTTCTTCATGTGTTTTGATATGTGTGCGGAAGATCTTGATTTTCCCACTAGCTTTGACGACTTGATATAGTGTCTTGGTCAACACAGGTGGTTGCTTAGCTTCTTTTCCTTGCGGTGGAGGCATGGGAGTGTTCTCCGTGTGTGTGAATTGTGCCGAGACCCATCCGTTGTGGATGGGTAAGCGTTTCACCTCATCAGGGGAGACATCAAACTCCACCGCTGCTGCTTTTGCAATTTCATAGACCATGCATTTGCCTGGACCACCGTAAATGTTGGCTCCGACGAGTTGGGTCACGGTGTTTTTGAATTTTTGGTGGTTCTTACTCCTCACTTCGCTCATGACTTTTGCTCTTGCAGCAATGATCTGACGGAGCTTTTCGAGGGTGGCTTTGGAAGAAGAAGAAGCCATGGTGAGAAGAATGGAAAGTGGTGGTGGTGTATCTTGAGAAGAAAGAAAAGAGGTGGTGTATCTTAAGAAGAATGGAAAGAGGTGGTGTATCGTTTCATTGGTGAGGGTGGTTTAAGTAGAAGAAACCCACCAACCATTTCTCTGAGAAAGCTTGCTAAATTCAATGTTTCATTGAATTACTTCGTCACTATCATATAGCACAGAGGGTGACGATCGAGAGATATCGCCATCTTAGAATTGAATTGATATAATGATGACCGAAGAGTAGAGCACAGCTGCACAGGCTACTACGGTACAAGAGGGAGAGAAACTGTTCTTCGTAAAGAAAAAGAGAGAGGTGAAAAGATCTCTT